AAGATCTAGCCCTCTGAACTTGTATGTGGTAGTATGGAAAACATCCGGTTCTTCCAGTTATCCTTCTACCGTATGTCTAGTAACTAACCATGATGGTGAGGCTATCTAAGAGGCACGGGCAAACAGTTATCTACTTATTTAAGTCCACACACGCGAGGGGCTAGGCGGTTGAGTTATCTCATAAACAGTCGTCCATCACTTTTACTTTCTCTCTCGGCTTCGATGCAGACTGCGCTCCATCAGGTGCCACGTTCGGTGCATGGTTTAAACGATACGAAAAAAACCTAAAAAGCCACCGGGCCTGATCTTACAAAGCTTTCAAGACATCTAGGAATCGTTCCACAATGTTAGGTATCTGTGCTACCGACACCCAATACTCGTGATAAGAATCGGATTTGCAGGCTCTTAGAATTATTCAGGAGGGCACACGCGAGGTTTTGGTACATATCCCTAACGAATGACCAATTTAAGTCTCGATCATGGGTAGAACCCTAATTCTTGTCTTCCCACGGCGAACCCACCCCCGGCGAAAACTATTAACCAACAGCATGGTTTGGACACATGTCGCAACTTCGGTAACACGACGGCCAATGACTGAACACCATCGCAGCATGTGGTTCCCACGAAAGCCCTTGATGTGTCACAATCTCACCGACACCTGATACCAAGACTACGTCAGATTTCATCCGAATTACCACATTCCAGGAGAAAGGTGATACTTGAGTTCGTGTAAATGCCCTTTGGCTCAAGCTAATAAAGGCAGCATATTCTGTTCGCCATGTATGCACTCTACGGTGGGTTTAGTGCGGGAATACAGAAGCGAGTTTCGTCGTGAATGGCATGCACTAGCAGACAAGGAGGTTGCTACTAAACTAGGTATCAATCCAACCTACAGTTGGTCAAAAGCATTCCACTTTAAGATTGCAGACAAAAGCTCACTCACTCGTCGCGGAATGCAGTCCTAGGCTGTGTATGCTTGTGATCCTCCACCAGACATCACGCAACATCCCGCTGGCTTCGAATTGCGGTCTGCAGATGCGTGAGGTTGAATCTCAACAATCGGCCACCCGCCCACCGACTGCATGCAACTCACAACTCCGCCTGTCGTCCTGAAAAGGAATCAAACAGTTACCGACGCTTAACACTTGAAGCGAGCGATAGGACCACAAATGACCACCTCCTGACATGTTTAGCAACCCAAATTACAATCATATGAAAGAGGTGAATTCCGCTTCGTGAACTAAAAAATCCTCGAACGCAACAGATGGACTTTCGACTATCAAATCTTATAAACAACTGATGGAACTCGATGAGCTTCTTCTACAACTAAAGTACCGCTGTTGCCAGATTAACATTCATGAAATTAGTAACACTCCCGTACAAAAATAACTACGGTATCGTTGATAGATACAATAGCGTTAAACGTGAAAGTTACCTCCGGACAGAACGCTGCCCTACCATTCGCGCCATTCGACCAACGCATGCCGGTCTTCCCACTCTCGCGATTTGCCTTAGCTCTGTCTCCCCTCCATTTGCTGAAGAAACCATAGAATACATCTTATTCTTCCATCCAACTAGTCTTCTATCGTATGCCTGGTGGTCAACATTGACTTTTACACACCACCACGTCACGACGAGAACAACGGCGCAAATTACCCTCGTGCGAATTATGACGCCATTTTCGAGACATGGATTATGTAATTAAACAAACGAATATATTTATGTATTTTTGTATTATAATGCGTAATTCATAGCATTATTCATCACTCAAGTTTATTCAATAGCAAAAATTTTTTTCTTATGCTTAGTGTTTGCTCTAGATGGACATGTGGACGCAATTTGAAGACAGGATGTGAATATACGGCGATTGTCAGAATAAAACGTAAGTTAGGGCCAGAACGCCAATTTCACTGAATATTCCTTGAAAGAAATTGTTTTTATTTCTCCCTAATCGCAATGCACGCTTTCTTTCTAGATAATGTAATAATAAATTACTAAAAACAGAGCATTTTCACAACATACCATAATATATAAATATTTCCCGGCCTTTTGTATTGACTCCTATTTTGGGATTACCACTGCTACCTTTTTTCCCGAAAGTCATTAGTTTTCATTTAATCTCTACGGACGGCTGCAATTTTGTCTTCATTTAAGGGATATTCGAGCAGTCTTTTTACCCTAATACATTTTTAGAGCACCTAATATATCGTGCTTGCTACGTCTTACCAAATGTGTTGTAGCATACCTGGTACATGATGGGACGCGAAAACAATGCTCATGTCTTCCAGGTGGCGTATTTTTTAAACTAATACCATAATGACTAGAGTGTATTAGATGATTGATTTATTCGTCGGGAAATGAGGTCCTAGGCGCCACTCAGCACTTAGCAGGTGTGAATGTGGTTTCTTAAAATGTGTCAGATTTGGTGCTTATAACATTCAACCTATTGGTACATTGCGAGCGGCATAGTGGTTGACTGCGCTTTTTAGTCCTTTAACAAACAATAACTCAAATCAGTTGAAATGCTCATCGGCGAAAAAAATTGAATTCACCTCTTGCTACTGTAATCAAAACATTCTCGTCGCCTTTACTGTGTATAGGGGTAAAGTTATCATCATGCATCCCACGTCCAACTCTACTAACCCTTGGTAGACGCAAGATAATATGCCACAGGGACAGTTCTGCCAATAAATTCCTGAACAGCGGATTGAAGTGACTTCCCAACCTCTGGAAAATTAAGGGACTAATCCCATTCCAGCTGGATTCACCCGAAGACAACCATCGACATCAGTCCTCATCAATTGCCGTCCAGCTTACGTGAAACCGGACACGGCTTCAGACGTTACTACTATCCCAAAGAAATAAAGGCGCTCTTTCGATCGGCCGTTAGCCATTCTTATCTAATTGCCATCGGTGCCTGCGGCGAGAAATTCCAACACCACGCATAAGTACAGGCGAACCGTTAGTCTCTGAGCCACACGATGGGACGACGATAATTTCAATTGTCTCTAGCGCATATGGTTATAAGCGATCAGAACATTCCCCACCACGACTCATCACAGAAAACACAACGGACCCAAGTTTTGTTTCACTTCAAAGATTACTTACCCTTCTCTCTGACCTACGTGGCTAGTACCAATACCCGTCAGTACACCCGCAGCAAATCCATATATTTCACACGTCAATTTATTAACAACCAACAAAAAGACACACAAACCAAATGCCAGGGTATAAGAAGGCCGGGGAATTGGAATGGCAACAGAGATCTAATACTTCGTTGAATGGTGATGGACACTTGTTTGAGATATAATGACAAGAGTCACGGTCCTCAGCAACCCAGTTAAGGCGTTCCAGCGAAATCGTGAACGTCGGTCTGAACGGCACATGCCTCGAGAACGACAGGCAAGTCCACAAAATGTCCCTGGAACAACTCCCGAAGATATTGAAGGCGTTGTAGTACTCGAGCACCTATCAAGTAGGAGAACAATCCTACGACCAAAGAAGGCTGTAAATTGTCTCCATCGAAGAGGTTCTTTCCATAGCATCGAACGAGCGAGCCGGAAAACGCAACTACCACCGACATGTACAGGTATACTTCAATTACGACACATGACTGAAGTTCCCCTGACAAAAATGACCTTGGATGGAGAGATGGATTAAAAGAATGCAGCAGCATTGGGGAGTTTGGCTGGATTGGGAGCAGGAAATCCGCACCAGGAGAGACCAGGCAGCGGCGGATTGCTACATGAGTTGCCAGTCAAGGTGAGCAGTAGCCTTGACCACATCCACGGCGACAAGCCAACAACTGCCCACACCTTCCACTGGAATGCATCTTTAACAACAGCAGGCAGATCAACACACTAGGTTCCTCACAACCTCCTCACCTCCAAAGCACACTGCCTTCACTCCACAACACGCTTCGCTAATCCCTGCCAATACACCCACCATAATTGCACACACCACCCTATGAATCCCGATGATAAGGCCATTAGAGGATAGACCAACCACACCTCCGGGCTTGTCTCCTCGTACGCCTTCTTCACCAGACTGTAGCGCTTGCTGTATCTAGTCAAGTTATTCGAGGTACCTCTCAATCTTGTTCTTACCATGGGACCGAAACCTGCAGGCGGTGGCAGCAAGAACGCCAGCAAGGCGTCCTCGGACCCCGACTTTTCGGAAACCGACAATGCTTTTACAAGGCGTACTTTCATTCAAGTCTTCGATACAGCCTCCCGAACTTCAACTTGACGATAACATTGACAGATGGCTTTGTGTCATGGATGTTTTTCTCAGAGGTGTTCCCCCTCAATTCGGGTCGTACCGACTACTGATCAATTTGTTTGAGAAGGCGAGGTACAGGGCAGACCGGAGTGAATGTACTCCGGAGAACCCGTACGAAGAATTGAAAGAGAGGTTAGCAAAAATATTCTCGAAAAACGCGGATAACTACCTGGACAAACTTGCAACTCGTTGCTATCGTCCAGGGGAGGATGTCCTAGATTACACAGCAGAAGTGTACAGTCTGGTGAAGTAGGCGTACAAGGAGACAGGCCCGGAGGCGGTGGCAGGAGCTCATAGTTTGAGGGGCCTGCCTAAAGACGCCCATAACAAACGGCGTGGTTTGGACACGTAGCGCAACTTCGGTAGTACGACGGCCAATGACTCACCGCCAGCGCAACTTGTGGGTCCCGCGAAAGCCCTTGATGTGCCTCACAATCTCACCTCCACCCCTGCAGCGTAAGGCCATTAATACGCCATCCTGCCGTCCAGTCATTGGTCGAAAACCAGAGACCCGCCGTGGGGGCGCCATCACGTGATTTTCAGCTATGAGGAACATTTGTCACGCACGCCACACAACACGACATCCAACTCTGTTCAAGCCTGGTAACTTCTTCCTTCACTTTTACCTGTTTAGGCCTGCCCAATAATTAGTGTAGGGATTGTCTCCTGTCCCCCGAACTCCACTAATCTGTTTACGCTCTCCAACCTCTGTTCGTCTTGGAACCGTGTTCTGAATAAGGTCTTCTAGATGTTTCCTCTCTCCATCACACATGTTGTTGCTCCGAGTGCTTCCGTGGATAGCATGTCTCGCGCTGACCCGTCAGCAGTCCATCTCTCCTCCTCCTAGGTCAGAACCCTGTTCGCGCGTTACATTTTGGTGGCAGCGATACCCACCAGTAGGCATACGTACTACTAGTGTTTCGAACCCTCGCCCACAGTCACCTCTGCCTTCTTAAATTCCTCCTCTTCCTCCCTGCACTCTTCGTCCGTGAGTCCGAGGACAACGCCGACCCTTCTTACGGCCATCCCTTTCCCCACTCTAACTCTCCCC